ATGGGAATTAGAAAGGGTTTGTGAAATATTTTGAAGAGTTACATTATTTGGATCATTAATTAATTCATCTTCAAAAAGGAATTCCAATATGATAAATGTGTTTTAGTATAATCAACCATTTTAAACCATGAGTTCCAACATGTAGAAACAGAAAGGAAAATTTTACAAGAAGAAGTTATACTATATAAGTGAAGATGTGTTAAATATCTACACCTTCTTACTGAACTACAAATAAAATATTCTTTTACTTTAGCTAAAAATTCTTTTAAAATTTTAAAAGAATTAAATTTTCACTATGTTTCATTATAAAATTTAGTTAATTATATTATTATTTAATGTAATAAAATATATAAGAAAAAAATTTTACTTACCCTATTAAATTTAATATATGTGCATAACAAAATACATAAATTAATTGAAGCATAACAGGATATAATACTTCATTAAAACATTATTTCATATAAACAGCTGAATCTGAAAGAAACAATTGAGAAAAAAAAAAAGAAATATAGTAGTTTGCCAAAATTATAAAAAGAATAGATCCTATTATTAAATTATTGACTTGAATCAAAAAATTTACAGAAACTAATTTTGTATTTTTTTTGAAAATGAAAAAAAGTATTCACTACACTACGCCTACAATCATCTGTAGTTTTATCCATAGTAATTGCCATTAGTTTATTTTCAAATAAGAGTTTAATTTGATTAAAATTGGTTTCAAAAACTTGAGGTAAATAAATTTGACATAAGGTAGGTGCTTGAGGAATAAATCCTTCTTGTTTAATATATTTTTAAAAAAAAAAAGAAGGGAATTTACTTTTTCTAAAGGTATGTCAGTAGTAACAAAAGTATGAATTAAATTTTTTATTAAATCCTTTTTACTATCAGCAATTGAAATTATTGAGGCAATTATTCAGAAGGATATTCAAATAAACGAGTATATATAATTACTTTGCTTCAAACTATTTTTATTAACAATTAACTATAAAATATTAACAAAACTTAAAAATATTTGCAATTTGTCTAATTTTAATTGATTAATCTAATGTAATATATGCGATCTCCTAAATTCTGCAAAGATCTGTAATATATTTTATAATTTTAGCATTTAATACAATATTCTGCTAAATTTGCGACTTTTGGCTTAAAGTCAGAGATCATTATCCCTGCACATATCATGTTAGTTTATCAGGATCAATCAGAGGTAAACACCTATTTTTATAGATCAGTTTGACTAATTACTGATCAATTTAATAACTAATTATTTAAGGGTATATTTTGCAATCAATTTGATCTGATCTATAATTGAACAGGGCTAGTAATTCTTTATACAAATGAGTAATTCAAGCAATTATATAAAAAAAAACTTTTGTTAAGTGATCTACTTCAGAAGAGCATATAATAATTCATAAAAGGTTGAAAATTTAAGAAAATTAAAAAATGCAATTGAAGCAGTAAATAGAACATATATTATTATAAAAATTGTATTAAATAAAGATCTAGAAGTTTACTTATTCAAAAAAAAAATTATCTATTTATTATTAAGGTATTGTAAATGATAGGAAAACTTTTATTAATTTTAATATAGATTGGTCTAGTTCAGTACATGATGTTAGAGTTTTTAGAAAATTTTCTTTTTTACAAAAGTTATTCTAATCATGATTATCTTTTAAGTAATTTTGCCTACTCTATTTTAGTAAAAATGTTTTTGGAAGATTAAAAGTAAGATTTATAATATTAAAAAACCTTAATATTAAAATAATTAAAATGATGATTTTATTATACGTTATGTAATATTTTATATAATTTTTTGAAATAATATGAACATTTAGGATTTAATGATATAGATAATAAAATAATAATGATATTTCAAATTATATAAAAAATAATTCTAATACATTAAACTAAACAGATTAAAAGAAAATATATTTTATGTTAACATTTTTTATAATTATCATTTTGATTAAATTATAATTTAACTATTTGATTATAATAATAATTTAAATTATCAATCAAAATAATATTCTTTTAAATAAAAATTAATTATTATTTATTTGAAACAATAATTATTCTAATTGAATTATTAATTATTATTCAACTAGAATAATAATCATTTTAATTAAACAATTAATTATCATTTTAATTAAATGATTTAATTATTATTCTAATTGAACAATTTATTTATCATTCTAATCAAATAATTTAATTATCATCTTAATTGAATAATTAATTATCTTTCTAAAGATAATAATATTTATTAGCTAATATTTTAGAAGATCAAAGATATTAGATAATCTTAATTTATATATATTATAAAATCACATAATTATAATAACTTTATATTTTATTATAATTATATAATACTAAACTTTATTTTATTCTTAATTTAATATATATTCACTTAACTACATTTCTTCAAAATAAATATTTCTTTATTGTATGATAGAATAAGAAAAAAATCTTTAAGAGTTTTAAAGTTTTAACTTTTACTTTTTCTTGAATTATTTATAGCTAATAAGATATACTAAATAAATCTTTTTCTAATAAATCTTTATATATATTTCCATCAAAAATATCTTCTAAATCTTCAAATTCAACCTCCTTATTAATAATATATTGATATCGATAAAGTAATAATTCTTCAGTTCTTATTTTATTATTATATTGAATCTTCAATCTCTTTTTAATAGAAAGATATGGCATTACTTTTTTAGATTTATTTT